GGAATGGTTCTCTTCGGTCAAAGAACGATTGCAACGGAATTACCACACGGCACCCTTGTTTGACACGCCACGATGGGTTCGAAACTTGGAAACGGGGCTCTTGGAGATTGTTGCACTACGCACTGAGGGTGGTAGTAGCTATAGTGACATTGAAATCATGGACAATGCCGGCAGATATTAATAGCATACCGGTAGTACGGGGGATCAGACTAATGCGAGGCAAAGCGGGAGACAGAAGACCATTGCAATGCACAAGCTTGCAGACGAAATTTTGAATACGACCAACATTTTAAACGTGACGAATGAATGATAAAAAATCAATTCAACTATTCCTTCCTTTCCCACCAGTCTTTCTCCATGCTGTCGCAAAAGGCCGGACTAACGGGAGCGGTGGGGAACGGCGAAACTCGACTCACACCATCGCACTCAGGCCATCATCGACTGCAACACTCGACGTTGAAGTACATGTATGGAGAAACAATGACTAAAAACGTTGGCAAAAGCAACCAACAGTACCATGAAGTACAGTTTGGAAATGAAATTGCACAACTAAACAGCTTTATCAAACTAAAATTGTTGTCACGTCGCTGTTCCAATGGATCCTGAGTGGGTGATGATGGATACATCGTGATATCATGGTAGCTGCCGTTGAGCAAAAAATGGCATCATACTGCTTTCTGAGCTCTACAAGTGGCTGGTAGATAGTTTAGATTGTTATTGCTCCTCCTTGTCGTGCCCGTAGAGAGTGTCTCTATTGTGGTGTGGATCATTTCCATCGTCGATGATGGGAGCTTCCAATTTGATTTCCCCAGAATCAGTAATGACAATTTTGTCAGCACGAGGAATCCCCCCATAGGTTCCTTGCTTTTCAATTATCTTCACGACAGCCTCACTGCCATCCATTATTCTTCCAAAAATGACATGCTTGCCAGTCAACCACTGTGCTTTGACGGTTGTAATGAAAAACTATACCAGTAGGATAGATAAAGAAATAGTAGACCATAAGGATCACAGTCCAGCAGCTGTAAGTGGAAGCCATTCTCACACACAGAAATGACGCGAATGCCTACGTACCTGCGAGGCATTTGTATCCGGTCCTGAGTTTGCCATTGCTAAGAGGAACTTTCGATTGAATTTCACCGTGGTCATGTCTTCATCCTTGAAGGTTCCACCATAAATACTGTCTCCACCTGTACCATCATTTCGAATGATATCACCGCCTTGAATCATGAAATCAGGAATGATTCTATGGAAGGAGCTGCCCTTGTAGCATAATGCAGGCTCTCCGCTATCACAGGCGCAGAGAGCTCGAAAATTTTCTACCGTCTTTGGTGCATATTCCCCAAAGAGACCCAGCACAATCCGACCTATGTCGTGGCCATCAATTTCGACTTGAAGAAAGACTTTGTGTGTTATGGCAGGAAGAGTTCTAGAAACGAAAACAGAAGGATCGAGTGAATGAATGAATGAATGAATCGAATGATTCAATCAACAACATCCCCTTTACAATTAACCGTTGGACTCAACTCACTCTTTTGGATCCATCTTAGGAGGAATGGCTTTATGCCCGAGGCCAGCCGAAGCCACATGATCACGACATAGTGCGGCAATGACAAAGAGAAGAAACAGTCCTCTAGTGTGGAATAACATGGTCTGCTTTCTGAGAGGGGAAAGAGGGGAGTTCTTTCATCCAATGGCATGATGGCATGCACCCATTGCGGCGTTGGAGTGCGGACTGTGGCCAAAAGCGTTTAAAGCAGCCTAGCTGTTTGAACATAGAAAGCACGTTTCTGACTCGCTGGTCGTGGAGGCAGGAGCAGAGGAGGGACGAGAAGCACCAACTCTAGAGACGAAACGCCAATAAAATGTCACTCGTCATCTACTAGCTATTGTAGAGAGTAACGATAAAATGGGTACAGAACAGTTTATCTATCTATCTAGCTAGAGAACCTGTTCAATCATTCCCACCGCAATCGTCTCCCCCGATCGCCGTAGCACAAACCGTCCTAGGGCACGACATTGTTGAAAGGATTCCATACAAATCTTGTCACTCAGTGTAATCTCCACTTCGGCCGTGGACGAGGACGGAATGGCCCGTGGACGTGCCTTTGGTTGTTGTTTGGCACCTCGTTTGGTCATGCTGAGCAAATTGGAAATGTTGGCGGGCACATCCAAATGATGAATGTGAAACAACACTTGGGCGCCTCGAATAATGGGAACCGCTAAATCGTCCATGACGACAATTTTGGCCCGACACTTGAGCGATACCGGAGGACGTTGCTGGGGACGCGCCAACAGACTTCCCATGGCGACTCGGACACTGTCAATTCCAGTCAGTACCAAATCGACCGTTTCTCCCACAATGGCATAATCAAGTCGCTTGTCATCGACGGTGGCATGCAAATGCTGCAGACTGTTCACTTTGGCATCATCTCCAATGGGCAATACAACGAGTTTTTCTCCCGTTTTGAGGAATCCCTGTACGACTTTTCCCCGCGCGGCGACTCCTTTGCCTTCGGCGTAGACGTCGGAGAGAATAATGCGAAGCGGTTCGGCTGTGTCCATTTTAATGTGGTGTAGTATGGAATCGGTAATTGTCGAGCAGCACGAGTTGGAGAGAAAGTTCGAGTGAGTGTGTGGGTGAGGGAGCGAGCGAACGAGCGACCGGAGACAAACATTCATCCATGCAGCCACGGTGATGATGATTGAGTCGACTCAAACTCGCAAGAAGAACTACATGTATGTAACGTACCTAGGTTGGAACTCTTGACGGGCATAAAGGCATCAATGGCCTCGTAGAGACTGGGTCCCTTGTACCACGAGGAGAGCGCGGCCGGTGGCGGTGCCTTCTTTTTGCTGTTGGCATTCTTCATGATATTAACTCCCATCAATCCACTGGTCGGAATGAATCGTATTCGTTTGGGTGCAAATCCAGCTTGTTGCAACAGAAATGGTTTGAGCCGTTGTTGAATATCGTTGTAGACCGATTGAGACCACTCGCGGACATCCAATTTGTTGATACAGACAAGCAATTGGGAGACTCCCAATCCTCTTGCCAATAAAATGTGTTCCTTGGTTTGTCCCTTTTGCAACATGCCATCGAGATTGGCAGACGATGCATCGACGACCAACAATCCGGCATCGGCCGATGCCGCTCCGGTAATCATGGTGGGGACAAAATCGGCATGACCGGGAGCATCCAACAGCACAATTTGGGGATGACGGGGCGTCGACAGCGTCTTGGTGGCAATCTGCATAGTGACACCGCGGGTTTGTTCGCCTTCGTCTTCGTCGAGCAGCCATGCCCATTGGACTGTCGAGTCTGCAGTGTTGTTGGAAGTGGTGACTTTGGACGTTTGTTGTCGTGTAATGAGTCCTGCTTGATAGAGCAATTGTCCCATCATGGTGGATTTTCCCGCATCGACGTGTCCAATGACCACGACGGATAATTGACTCTCTTGTCCGGCACTGCAGGTTTTTTGCAGAATGTCGGGTACGGGTACCGATTGGGGATTATTGTTTGGTGTTGCTGTAGAGGATTGTGTGGAGGTGTTGTTTGTATTTGGAGTATTGGATGGTGGGGTAGCAGCCGTAGTGTTTGGTTTTCCCCATCCAGAAGGAGGACTGATGGCAGCTGAAGGGGTAGCATTAGGTGTTCCCCAGCCAGGCGGTGGTTTGCTGACTCCTTTATTTACGGCAGCTGCCACTGGTTTCGTGGTATTTCCCCACCCTGGAGGAGGCTTGGCCACACTCAGTCCAACACCTAAAGAACCTGAAGAAGTGGTGCCAGTGGCAGCAGTGGATGGGGATGGGGTAGCTGCTGGAGTCTTTGGGTTCTGCTTGACTTGCGGCTGTTTCTTATTGGCTTGATTCTGTTTCGGAGTGTTGTTGGTCTTGCCTTTAGCGTTGTTGTTGCTGCCACTCTTGGGTTTAGTGTAGCTGGAGCTTCCGGCACCATAATCTCCATAGTCGTCGTAGTCATCATAATCATCGTAGTCGTCGTAATAATCGTCTTCGGCGATCATATTACGAACATTGCGATGTCGACTCATGGCTGATCTGTTGTGTTGATGAGTCTAGTCGATGAACTTTTACCTAGCTATTATAGCTACCGGTACCTGGCTACGGTATACTATTGATGCGATGGATTGGGGAGAGGTATATCTACTCTCGCTCATTTTTGTGACATGGTCGGGACCTTCACGGAGTTGGATGGGGGTGTTTTCACCCTAGCACTAACCTTTCCACGCCGTGGTGAAGGGTTCCCGTGGATCTGACATTGGCGAGTGGATGCGGCAATGGCATCCTGGTCCTCCCCCTTTGCACTGGACTCGACTCTGCACTCTAATAACGGACATTGGCCAAGAGCAGCTTCGATAGCAGTGTCTAAGTTATGCTCCAGAAACAATCCTGAGTAATCTACGCTTCTTTCAACCCTGTATTTTGCAGCCTTCTGGAGCACAAAACGACCTTGCCCTCACCCACGCCTACCTGTCTATCGTAGTGCACAAGCTGTCAATCACAGAAATGGCTTGGTGAGTGCATGGGCAGGACCAACGCAATGAAACGACATCATGGGAATGTGTGTACAGTGTCACCCCTCACGTCGATAAACAACATCTCATTGTAACGACAGCTTCCTCTGACCACAACTTGAAGCCTTCGGTAGTCGTGTTGCTTGGACTTGAGATCGAAGGGATGCCAATCTATGGATATTGGGCTTCAGTTTTATCACTCCCCGACCAGCATTCCAATCTCCCATCTGCCCCGGCAAGCTACGAGAGATCTTTCAAGTTCAGACATTTTTCTGCTCCATGACGGGGAACTTTATCTTGACTTGAAGTTCGCAGTGTCCCACTATACCGGTACAACTGTAGTATAGTCCATGGCAAGCTCCCTTTTTATGCGTCTATCTTCCTTAGCGATGCGCGAATCGAATCGAATCGTTGTTGTCATACTGTATGCATACATACTTACATGTAGCGTCACTCACAGCTAAAGATGGAGATGTCAGTCAAAGGACCTCAGTGCCATGGTCGGCTTCATGACATCATCTGCACGACTGTGGAAATTTTTAACGCCGTGCTCTCTCCCTCCCTCACTTTCCTCGGCGTGGTGGGCCGTCCACAAATTGTCCGTTCCCACAATAGCAATACTACGGGCAAAAACATGGCCATTTCTGAACGGTTGTCATTGCACGCGGCAAGAATCATGAATGGGAAGGGGCCTCGCGTATTGGTTTATACACTAGTATAGGAAAGCTGGCACAAATCTAACTTGAGAGAGAAGGCGGAATCACGATGCAAATTTTACAGCAGCTGCATCTTGGACAGGTCGGGCTACTGAGACATTCGTGCAGAGATCCACATGTTGCTGTCGATAGTTCATCTGTAAAGAAGCATTTGCCCCAGAGGCAGTATAGTGTTGATCAAGGATTCAAATACGAATCTTGTCTCTGAATGTACGGGATTCTTACCAGTACCGTATGGGAGGAGAGGCCTTGTGTTGAACTCAGCCTTGTAGCCCTCTTGCTTGAGACGCAGTCCAGGAGAGTTCACGTTGCGATTCCATATAAAAAACAAATTGTGGATTGTCGACACGCTTTCCTATCACTGTCCTCACATAATCCCATTGGTCAGACTCGTCTAGACATTGGATCAGAACTAAACACCACTCAGGAAATGGAACTTCACAAAGATTCTTGGGTCGAATCAATCCGCTTCGGCCCAATGATTCCATCCACTTTCACCGCAACGTGGCCTTCCTTCAACCCACCCATGCAGACCAAACCAATTTTGCCATTCATTGCCAAACCTGATGGACTTTCGAGCCCACGTATCAACACCCACAAGCCAGCTTCGCCCTTCTCCAAAGGAGTACAAATCTGGGCTGATACTAGTGCCTCTTTCAACCAAAGACGGGTGTAATCCTTCAGTAGTACACACTTCAGAAAGATTCAGCCGCTGGACAAAACTAGCATACGTTTCAGGATTACTTCAGCGACAATCTTGAAGAGTGCAGATGCTTCCGTAAGCTCTTCAGATGTGCGATTCAAAGCCACAGTCTGAATTGATACGGGAATATCTCTTTGATGGGGGGAATCTCCTTGTGAAATCAAGCCGGACAGAGCACACGCATATGCAAATGCCAGAAGAGGAAGTGATCCAGCTTCCACATCCTTCGATACAGCAAGTGCTACCTTCACGGTTCTCTTCAACAACCCATCATGGCACCACCAGGTTGGTTTCTGAAGCTTCTCACTTCTAGGAAGAGTCATAAATGCCGCGGTAAAGGTAATGATACACCGGACCCATTTTCTGGCTCTGCTTGTGTCAGTTGTTTTGTCATTCAGAAAATCTGCAAGGGCAGCCATTGCAAAGCGCTTGCATGCTTCCAACGCGCATGAACAGGCTTCATTTTTTTATGTGAGATGCCATAACAAGGAGCCAGATGATAGAACGCTTCAGGTTGTCTTGCGTCCTCTTTTATTGCCATCTGAAGGACTCTCTTTGCACCTTTCATGTCTCCTGTACGCATTTTACTCTTGGCTGCGGCGATGTAGGCGTTGTACGTGCAGTCATTAGCATCTTCACTCGACCAATCCCATACAGACAACCTTTTCTTCCATTGTGGACCTTCTTCTTCGTGCCACTTTTTGTGTCTTGACCAAGCCTCCTTGAAGCACTTTTGAGAGCAGAAAAGTGCAGGAATAAATCGTTCTTTTGTGCACCGTGGACACTGGTTGAAGCGCACTCCTTTGGGTTCTGCGTCATTACAGCCCCAACACACTCTTTCCGTTTTCACGGGGTTTGGGGCCCTTTCATCAGCAACGTCTTGCATTGGGGAAAGATGCTATGAATTCCAAGTATGATACGGAGAACACGGAAGACCCTGGCTTGCTGTTCTAACTTCTGTGGGGCTGATTTATTTTGTTGACCTGTTCGACTTTTGTTTTGCATCTTGATTAATAAAAGTAGCGTGGAGATCGGAGTGATTCGAGATTCACATTCATTCCGTCGTCGAGTCCTCATTCCGGTGACGCCACATTATACAGAGGTCCAACGGCCGGGGGGTGGGCGATCTCGAGATGCACCCAGGAAGTGAGCAGTACCGTATCGAATGTTCTCATTGGTGGCAAACTGCACGGTGCGGTATGGCCTTCCGAACTACTGGCTAGTACGACTACAACTACAACATGTATAAAGAATGAAGCCTTGATGTTTGTTTGTAAAGATTTGTCTACGATGTGTTATTGTTCTATGTTTTATGTTTGGTTGTATTTAAGATTGTAGCATCAACAATGATAGAGGTTGGTTGTCGGGTGTCACGGGTATTAACTTTGGACTTTCGTCGCGTGGAGGACGTTCGGACAAGCACTCTGCAATAGAGGCTGCCTAGCACAGGAACCACAAACCTGGCTACCTTCGATGTGACCCTTCAATTGAACCAACTGTATTCATCTCCGCAAAAATATTGTATAGCCCTGCACCCCGCCAGATGCTTGCTCATTGTGTATTGTATTGTGTTAGTAGTCCCCGCAATCCGTCGTCGTCGCCCCTTACTTACCTGTTGTCCTAGACTGGAATGTACCGGTCAGGCTTTCTGACTTGCCGCCCAGAAAGAGTTGTCGTCGTCTGAACTGTTGTTTGCTGCTGTGTGTCCGTCACAGGTTGTGTCGTCGTCATCTTCTTCCTCTTGCCCTCCGCCTTTGGCTTTGTCGACTGTTTCTTGGTGGCCGCCGCCCGTCTACGTTTAATTCTAGGTTGTTGTTCAACTGCCACCCGCCGTGGCCTCGTCTTCATTTGTTCTGCGATTCTCTGAGATGCAATCGCCGCCATGCGTCTCTTCGATCGTCGCAAAGTTGATTGTGCTGTGTCCACATTGTCCTCCTCGTCGACTCGGTTGTCGACCAGTGGTTCTTCAGCATCAACTTGTTGTTGTTCCTCGACCTCGACCAGTGGTTCTTCGGCTTCCACTTGGCCAGTCACGAATTCGAAATCCGTATCGCCCGAGGCATCGCCTGCCTCCAATCGTAGTGTCTTGTGCCGCCGCATCATTTCCTTGACAAGGTCTCCACCATCCTTCATCGATGCTGCGAGAATGTCGCTGGGTACCACTCCAAGTAGCACACCATTCATCATTCGCATCTCCAATACAAATGGTTGTTGTCCATGCACACTGATCTTGAAGTGTGCCACATGCCACTTTTGAACGTATGGGACCACTGCTGTGCATGTGGGAACCACCGCTGCTGCGCATGTGATTGTGGCATCGGATGCCATCTTGTTGTCGTCGACGGTCTCGGATGCCATCTTGTTGTCGTCGACAGTCGAGACTGTTTCTATTGTCTCGACGTCTTTAGTTGTTGTTGGTTGTTGTTCTACTTCTACGGGTGCTGCATCTTCCATGCAGACATCCTTGACCTTGCGATAGACAAATCGTCGTTTGGCAATCTGTTCTCGCGTATTCAAGGTGCAAATTTCGTCATTGGCATTGCGCTGAATGCCTCCGAGATGCAAGTGGCACATGGCGAGTTCGAACATGTAAGTCTTCTTTTCGTTGACCATGAACCAGTGGGCGACTCGCTTGTCGTTTCCTTTCTTCGCCTGGATGAAACGAACAAGTCCCTCGAGGTCTTGATGCACGGCATCAATTTGAATGTACAGTTGGGCTTGTTGTAGGTACGCTTTGTCGCTTTGGAACCATTTGTTGTTGGTGATCCATTTGGCCACTTGCTGGTATCCGTACTCTTGAATCAATTGGACAAGATCCAAGACGCGTTCGTGGGGTGTTTGTGTGCCGACGGAAATGAATTGTTGTTGGGCTTCTTGCCAGAATTCGTAGTGGGCCAGTGGCACATGTTTCTTCATGTCTCGATAGACACGACGGTTCTCAGCTTGTTCGCTCTCGTGAGAAGAGTACCCCACTACAGTGTTGACAGGAGCAAAGGATAAACGGTTTCCATTGCTCCGTTCGGCGTCTTGACCGTAATGAGTCTTCCAGTGAGCGTTGGCTGATTGACTGGGTTGGATGCGACAGCCTTTGGGCCGGTGCTGGTTGTTGTCGTATCCGTAGTGACCATGCTGATCCGCAGGAACCAGGGAAAGGTCGTAGGCACCTAGGTAGCGACCGTGCTGCTGGAATTCCACATCAGGATGCATTCCGTGCAACAGTGCCGCGGTTTGGACGACATCTTTGTCCAATTCGTCCAGTTGGAATGTTGGGACTTCCTCTGCCGCAGGAACATCCTTGTCGTTGTTGTTGTTGCCCGTCATCTCCTTGGCGACCTGGAGAACGGGGGTCTTCATGGTGTTGCTGTTGTTGTTGTCGGTGGTCATGGACCACGAGAGCAGCTTGATGATAGAAGAAGAGAACTTCATTTTGCAATTGATAGGTATTGAATAGAAGATTGATAGAAAGGGTAAGTGAAGGTAGGGGGGTTGATCTGGCCTAGGCTTATCAACAATCGCGAAAGTCTTCCTTGTTCGGTTGGGTATGCAACTCTAGCAATCCGGTTAAACAAAAAAGTGAGCTCATCATGGTGGTGACATGCCATTTTTCACCTGACAAGATCTGCCAGATGTTGGGATGACAGATTCTGCCAGATGGATAATTTTGAAAAACGACATGTGATGAGACGAGACTGAGCCGCTGATGAGTACCAACAGCACACTTCCTGCGCCTCTCAGAGTACAGTCGTAGTCTTGATGATAGCTGTAGCTAGACACTGGGTTCTTGTTGTTGTCGTGTTGGTTGCTCTTCGCCATGGTGCGATGCTGTTGGTTGCGGCGCGGAGCGTCTCATGCCATGCTGCGGATGACCTGCGGAAGACCTGCGGAATCGAATCGAATCGATTCGTGATTGAAGTTCGATTTTCAATCTTCCAAGATTTGGCGGGACTCGACCCAGTCCAGTTCAGTCGAGTGAAGAGTCCGTCGGCCACACGGCCTACCGGTACATGTACCACCACACCTATCCGTACCGGTACCGGACCTCTTGCCGCGGTGCGGTCTCGAGAATTCAAACAGTAATGAATCACTCCCTATCAAACAATGATCGAAGAGAGAACTACAGTAGCTAGTATGTATCTTGGGTAGCATGTTGGTGGTGGCAAATTACCTGCAAGTTACGGCTAACCAACAGAATTTATAGTTTATCTTTTGCCGCCACGGGTTCTGGGGCGTGACTGAACTATCATCGTACTACAATGTTGTCAGGGGTGTGCTGGAAAGTTGGCCAACCGTTGTGGCCAGGTATAGAGATCGCTCTCGTTGGTATACGGTTAGTACGGTACCACTTGCCTTCTAAGATGATCCTCCGAACCCCTGGGGCGACAGTCTCTTGCCGGCACAGCATGATTGGATTCGATTAGATTGAATTCGGCTGCTACTAGTCTAGCTAGTCTATTGGTACGAAGCAGAATCGTGATTCATTCGGTTGTGGGATACTGAAAGCATCTTTTGAACGGTTTCTCTATGAGTGAGAAGGAAAAGGGGGCGAGCTTCTCTGTACAGAGACTTTTGATTGCCGGTTTGTTGCGTCCCATTCAGAATACTCTTTTTTATTCTCCATTTGCCAGGACAGCTTGGTCTGTAGTTTCCTGGTGGCTGTCATCGTCATCATCAATATCACTATCATCGTCATCGCCTCCCATTTGATTCATGAGATTCATGAGTAGCACGGCGGCGTCTCCGGCCCGCTGTCGTCGTTCGTCGTCGGACAATTGTCCCTGTTTGGATAGATCTCGAATGCGATTGGCTTCCTTGAGCGCTCCTTCCATATTGTTTAGAATGGCATCGGCTTGTTGTTGACTTTGTCGTTCTTCCCCAGAAGGTGCCGTTCCATCGATATAGAGTTCTGTTGCTGGGTCTTTGTCGTTGATTCCATCTTGTTGGAGGAGGGCTTGTCGTGCCTTTTCTTCTCGTAGTTTGGCTTCTTGTTCCTGTTCTTGTGTCAGAGCATTAGTAGTAGTATCTGTGGATGTTTGGATTGGGAGCGTGGTAGGAGGAGGTTGGTACTGAGGAGTAGTAGTGTCATTTGTTGTAGCGTTGGAAACAATGGTGCTTTTGACTTCTTGATAGGATTGTTGTAGCTGCTGTTTCTTTTGCTTGTGCATTTGGGCCGTGGACCAAACGGTACCCTGAATGGCTTCAATGATTCTGGCAAATCCCTCTTTTTCTCGTTCTTTGTGTCCTTGTTGGATTCCTTCCGGCGATAGATCCACCTTTTCGACGTATTCGTATCCGTGATCCAAACACCAGAGGACTCGTCGCGAGTATTCTTGTTCGTGTTGTTCTGCACTAATAGTGTTAGTGGCAGCAGTCAGCAGTCCCACACAAAGTCGTAGCAAATCTCCATTTTGATTGTTGGCTTCCGCAGTGGCATGAAGATTGGCCAGGACATCAAAGGAGCGACTGGAAGAATCATCAAAGACTAATAAGATCCCATCTTCCCGTTCATCCACATCAGTACTAGTTTCGGTAGTAGAAGCATTGGATGCAGTACCAATAGCCAAAGGAAGGAGCGCCACACTGGCATCAAAGTAACGGTTGGATATCTTCAAGATTTGGCTGCCATTCAATGCGCTGTTGCTCTCACCACTACCACTTCCAGAAGCGGATGTTCCACTCGTAGCTGAAGTACTAGTAGTGGCTTCTTGCTGTTGCTGTTGCTGTTGCTGCTGCTGCTGTTGAAATCCAAGGATGGCCTCTGTCAGCTTGAGAGACAATTCCTCATCAGAGCCACCGACACGAACCACAGAGACACTACTACTCAAACTCATGATACTTTGTCTTGGTTTGACTTGGCTTGGCTTGACTTGGCTTGACTTGACTTGGAATCACTCAACTCTCTATGGCTATAGCAGTCTGAGATGGCTACTACACAACCAACACTTCTATTTCGAAAGGTCATGTTTTGTGGTTGTCCTCAATTGGCAGCTGTTCTTTCGCGTTGCAGATCCAAAGACCGTCTATCCCTGGCCCTAACATTCCACGGCTTACACGCACCGTGGAACACACCCACAGGCAACAAATCCGATCGGCAAGTGCAATAATGGCGTCACTTCAAACTCTCCTAAAGATCAGACGGTTTGCGTGGTGGCACTCTTCCGGTACATTACTGCAGCAGCAAGACGAATTTACTCAAGTTGGGCGAACCAGCAGCTGGTAGTCTAGTACCTGGTACTAGCTAGTACCGTACCATACTATTTGGAATGTAGCCTGGACCAGTAGACGATTCGATTCGATCCCCTCCTATCAGCACGTGAAAGAGTCGCTGCAGTGATTGTTCTACCGTGGTAGAGCCCGTTCCCATGGACGATTGATCCGGCACCTCAAAAGTTCCTAGCACGATGAGGGCCGTATCACCTCGTCTTCTGGATGTTTGGGGGGCATGACCACTTTGATTCGACTTCGACTGACACTCGACGACTCCCCAAAACCACGAGGACCGACTACAATTAAGGCAACTAATTAATTGCATTCCATGGACCCTAGTCCTGAATTCCGCCTCTTCTTTGCCTGAGCCTGGCCCTTGCTGCCTTCCGTAGATAACTAACTTCCCTACTCTAAAAACTCCTTTTCTTGAGGAAAGCTATCAATGGCTCAACTAGCTACTAGACTGGCTCGAGTAGCTCTCGAGTAAACATCATGGACAAGATCAGATGATCAGATCCTCTCAGGCTCCATCCAAGGCGCCGATGCTTCGTCCCATCAATCCCATTACGACTTGTGTATTGTGAATGAAAAGGGTGGTGTCAGAACTCCAGTGTCATCGACGCGCGGTGACGAATGGTTGTCACACAATGTTGGATCTGCTGCCAAGGATGAACTTTCTCACTCATCCAGTTTCTAACACTGCACGATCATTGGACCATTGGATGATCGATCGAATGACATTATTGATTTCTATAATATTGTGCCCCCATGGATGCCACTTACGTTCTTGCATCCTGTCAAGAAATCACCACCAAGCTCAGGCATACTCAGTCATCCTTGCCGATACTCTATAGAGACATTGTCACTATTGGCTGGGGCTGATTGATTGATCTAGCATCAGGAGGTTGTTGTGGTCTTTCTCATTTTTTAATAGCTGAATCATCGGCTTGTCTTATCTCAATAAGGTACCGTAGCTACCCATACTAGCTATATTAGAATAGGAATCAATCCTTACAATGGGCGTCTTGGATGATCTCTCCGAGGTGGATTTGCTGTTGAATCAGCTGGTAGAAGAGTAAGTTCCATTAATAAAGCTGAGGATGCCCTTGGGTAGCACAGGGTATATTAATACCCATCTCACTCACTTATTCACTACATTCTTTGATGTTCTACAGAACTACCCGTTTGCTGCTTCAGCATGGTCCCTGGATTCAAAAGATCTTCATGGATGTTTTCTCGGATATGATTTTTGTGCCTCGCATTGTGGCCAAGCAAATGATGTTGGCCATGGTCTTGGAGACGGGTCGATTGGTCTTTTCACGTGTGTACCATTACAGTACCGGTCTCGTGGTCCAATTGGTCAGTAGTCGAGCTCGTATGTTGCGGCAATTGACATTGGATCAACAATCGGCACAAACCCAAGACGAGTACATGATGCTGGCCGAACAACACGATGCCTTGACGCAAGCGCAAACTTGGCGAATGGAATCCTCCTCGCCACTCTACGAACGAGATCGAATTGCCACCACCATTGATCATTACCTGCATCTCATGCGGAGAAGTGAAGTCTTTGATTTGCTATTTTTACTACGCGGCAATTTGGGACGCAATCAATTTGGACTCTTGCACCAGGGATTGTTCAGTCACTCCAAAGCCGGAACCAAAGTACTTGTAGAGACCTATCACAATGTCGTGTGTGCGGCACTCGAGTTTGTCTGTGATGCTCCTGTCGATGATGATACGGATCTCAACAACAACAATTATGTTCCCACCGAAGCCAAATTGGCCTTTTTTAATGAAGTCAGGCATGCATATGGAAGGTAAGTATAGACGATACATAGATACCACCTATGCTGCATGCAGGCTGAATGATGGTACAGCAAAGAGGCTTGACGAACTAACTGACACTTCTCTATCTCTCCATAGGTCAAGTCTGCTGCTCAGTGGAGGTGCTGCCCGTAAGTCCATTCCAAAAGTTCTGCAAATCTGCATTGCCCAGTGACAGAATGAATGATTCGGTACAGTACTGTACTAACTCTCCACTCCTTCTCATGCCGTGCTTTTGAAAACATGCATCACTACTACAATTCACACATCATCCTATCGTACGATACGGACGCCTGACTGAATGACAGTGGGATTTTATCACGTCGGTGTGGTCAAGGCATTGATGGAGAACAACCTCATGCCACGAGTCATTGGCGGGGCATCCGCTGGATCCATTGTCTGTGCCATGGTCGGAACACGGACCGATGAAGAATGCATTCACGATCTCTTTCATCTACGAGGGACTTTTGCACCAGGACATTCCGGAATGATTCATCTCGAATTCTTTCGACCACTGCTCTTTGAAGAATCCAAACAACAAAAACGCAACAAACAACAACACCACAAATCGGGAGAACTCTTCCAAGTCTACCACAACACGGCCGGGGCATTTCACGATCCCAAACGCACTTGGCAACTCTACATGCCCGTAGGATTGCGGCAAGCCGCCAGTACAATTTACGACATTTTGACGGGAGACCGACGCGCCAGTGATTTGGTCATGCACGATACCGAACATTTCAAGGCGGTCGTCAAGGCCAATTGTGGAAACTTTACCTTTCAGGAAGCATTTGATCGAACCGGACGCATTTGCAACATTATCGTATCACCGAAGAACCAATCCGATCCACCGAGGCTGTTAAACTACTTGACGGCGCCACATGTCCTCATTTGGAGTGCGGCGGTCGCATCGGCGTCAGTGCCGGGTATTTTTGAAGCGGACTGTCTCTTGGTCAAGGATCCCGATGGTACGGAACGCTACGAATCGTCCGACATGACACCGAATGGAGGGCGGGTCCAATTCTCGGATGGGTCATTTGAACAGGATTTGCCCATGCAACAACTCTCGGAAATGTTCAATGTCAATCATTTCATTATCAGTCAAGTCAATCCACAGGCGGTCTTGTTTGGCTCGTTCAATCATCGCAGCTACGATGGGTGGTCCATCAAGGGAGTCATTGATTCCTTGCTCTGTTTCCTCAAAGGACAATGTCGAAGTTGGTTGGTCAACTTGATGAAGTTCTTGGGGAGTGGACGATTCCGACCTCTCTACGCACAAACCAGAGGAGCCAACATTGCCACCAACATTTTGACGCAAGAATACGAAGGACGAAGCTGCGATATTTCTCTCATTCCGTGGCTCCATCATCGGACTTTGCGAAGTGCCTTTTTGCACATGCTCTACAATCCGACTCGTGACGATTTCTTTGAATGGACCAAGGCAGCCGAACGGGAGACTTGGAAATTCATTCCTCGCATCAAATGTCACATTGCCGAAGAGATTGCACTCGATCAGTGCGTCCAGAGATTGAGGAATCGACTCATTCTCGAAGCCCGACAAAAGCGTCGAGGTTCAGTGGCAACCAACAACATGATTGGCAACGGACTCCCGAGCTTCTTTGTCAGTCCCAGTTTGACGAATCTGGAGAGCCGTGGCAGCACCGCCGCGGCAACGGTGGAGCAAATCGTTGCTGGAACGGCACCGGTTGTCAACAACACGTACCAAGTACCACTCAAGAGCGACAGTAGGAACAACCTGTTGTTGACGTCCGACGTGACGGATCTCAATTCCGGATGGGCTGGCATGGGATTGCTTGGAAATAGATCCAGTGGCAGCTTGGAACGACAATTCTCCCATCCTTCTGGTTTGTTCATTGACGAGGAAGAAAACCCACAACAGCCGCCTGACTTTGCCGCTGCAGCTACGCACATGACGACACCCTCCCAAAACGAGCCATCCGGGTTCGTTGTTGCCTCTGGCAAGACAATGTCGAACTCTAGCCTCCGATCCAGTCAGCGCAGTGGTAGCCATGGCGACGGCGCAAATGGCCGGCGCGGGTCCATGGCTGAATTCTATTACCGTCGTGCCTCGGAGACCAACTTGGCTCATCGGTAAGGAATGCACGCCAAAGGACAGACATCAACCTGAGTCCGCACACCGCTATACGGTACCACATCATGAGTACATAGTGTGCGTCAATGCATATACTTAATTCCGTACACAAAAAGGCTACATAAACATCCATTTTTGCTTCTCCTCATGTCAAGAATCCGTTCTTCATCAACCTTTGTCAAAACTAGCTAGACGCAAAGTTGCCATCTGCTGGTAGGATCCACCGTGGGCCAGTGTTCGCTCGTCATTACTTTGGAGTGACAGTCCAATTTGCAAGTATACTGACACACCACTGCCTTGATTCTTCTGGCAGCACAATTGTATGCCCCCTGCTCCCTGGATGGCCATTTTCCAAAGCAGATGTATTCAGACGTCCAAGTCCCCCTTGCATCACTGGAACACTTCCACCAAGTTTGGCGATTTGTTTGCAAACATCATAAAGCTGTGGGGTATTCCTCCTTGAGTTGTCTCTGTGCCAAACTTCAGCGCATTCCGCATTACAGAATGCCTGTTTTGGGAGGCAGCAGCGGACGACCTCAGTAATGCACGTATCAGTGCTATCTGCATCACGTTGTGCACTACACGAGCAGACCTTGGGAGGATTCTCCACAATCGGGCAACAAGGCATATAACAACCGATTCGATTCATCCTCTAGTTGACAGCCCCTACATACGCGTAATACCCCAGTCCGAGAAATGGCAAGATCCCACCAATCCAAATCTCCTTGCGATGCAACAAAAAGGCAGCCGGGCCAGGATGCCTTTGGCCGGTTCCACTGCTAGGATGAACGTTGGCAGCTTCAGCTTGGTGGTTACCGTGGATTGAAGGGTGGAGAATAATTTGTTGCTGGTCAAGAAGGATGCTCTCCTTTCGACGCTGTTTACAGCATTGAAACAAAACACGTCAAGGCTGACATCATCACGAACAAATTGACATGCCCTCGCCAGAGGATGGCAATCAAGACACTGCCGAGGAAGCCAACACGCATGCCACTCTTCCATTGAAGTTACATCGAAGCAAAAGGTTCTCGCAAAATTCCATTGTTCTGCTTCCTTCTGCATAAGCAACCGACCATGCATTCAAGGAGGGGGATTGTGATTGCATTTTCTTTCCTCATCGAATCAGTGCGCGCCGGTATCCGCCAAATCCAGCTGTTCTTCCATTGTGCGCGCCCCGCCATTGGTGTTGCTCATCCCCAATTTCTGGCCGCCGCAAACCACCATCGAAATCGGGCAAGGGTTGATAGGCATCTAGGCTGTCCACTTGTCCATTGTGTCGTTCCATCATTCGTTCTTTGCTATCTTCCATGGAAACGAGAATGGAGAGTCCACCCACGAGACCCCATCCCAGGATCAAAATGGCAAAGGTTGTAGGAACACGTTCGTAGGTCACTTGGAGGCAGGAGGAACCATCTCCGGATAGAATTTCACAGGCGGGAGTATTCAAAATGTTATTGGTGGCACTGGGCATGATAGATTCCGCCATGAACATGGCCGCGAAGAAGACTTCCCATGCACAAAAGGCAGCCAAAAGGTTGCTGGCATGGACCAGTAGCGATCGAACACAGCGCATTCGTGGTGATGCCGTCTTATTGGCAGTCATGGCCAACAAAACAACCAGAATTGCTCGCAACAGTGGCCCCAAGACAATAAAGAGTGCAAAGGTGCGCATTAACAAGAGATCCATACCACCTGCAGCCCCGGTCAAGTCTTGGAGTGACGCCAAGGAATATTTGTGATTGAGATCGAGCCCCAGCACCTCTTTGAGTAAGTTGGGAATGGCACCACCAACCTTTCGTTCCATGGAGGGTGTGTAAAGGGCCATTCCAACCAACACCAGTGTGACCATGGGTATGATGTGATGACAATGGAGGCGCGTGTAGACCGTTGTGGTGCGTTGGACCCAAAGATCCAAGACCGAAGCATCGTCTTCCATGATTTCGAGTGAGAAAAAGGTTGTACTACTACTACTACTGCTGTTCTCGAGCAAGGGTTCCAATGCTTCGGAAGCGGCGTCTCCCGCCAAAATGAGTGACGCTGCTTCCTCAGGATTTGTCGTCACGGAGGGTGTCAAATTGGTATCCTCCCCCCTTTGTCTTTCATGCAGCATGTCAATGTACTTGTAATTGCACCAGTCAACAATGACAGTGAGTAGAATCGACAAAATGACAGCAATGCAAAAGGCATAGATCCCTTTCATTCCCACCACGGACAATCGTACGGCCCCATATCCGCTCATTTCGATTCCCTCGACGATGGCTTTTCCTTGCTTTTCCACCGTGTCTGGTTCGTGAAAGGCCGCCCAGACAAACTGTTTGCAGGAAAAGCATTCCAAATGTTGTTTGATACTCAAATCTTTAGATCCACAATCGGATGCATCAAAAGATAGCATGACGGAACATATTTGTCCATCATCCCAAACTAGTTTGGCCAAATCAATCAACATGGCCAAATGATTGGCAATTCCCTCTTTCATGGTGGGTGGATCTATAATCCATTCTAAATTGAGGACTCCAACCATGACACAGACAGTGAGGACATCGGCCAAGGACCACTTGCCCGAGAGTGCCAACCATCCCAGAGTCCGCGTGCGTCGATTGGGTGTTAGTGACAGGCATTGTGAGGACCACGACAGTTGCAACAAGATGAGTCTGAGATGTGGCCACATGCCGGAAAACAGCAGGAGCAAAATGGCAGCCCACCGTGGCGAAAAGACCCCCGGCATGCCATAGGCTTGCCACAATTCTTTCACGGCAAAGCCATAGGTGAACGTTTGCTCGTTGTGTTCCTGTTCGACTCGATAGTTCAACGTGTCACCATCGTGAGTAAACCCCGGAGTGTTGTGGAGGCCGAGTTGATTGAATATTTTTTTGGTCATGGTCGTTTGTGCTTGTGCCGTGACATTAATGTCTTCTGCTGTGAGGGATAATCGACACATTGGAGCCCATTGTGCATAGGCAAAAATGAGATGTGTGACAATGCAGGCCAATGGAAGCAGCATGGTGAGAATGGTCGGTGTGGTAGGAGCTTGTGCCAAAGAAGGAAGAAGGACGGTTGGCATTGTAGTGTCCATGGTACTATTGTCGTTGTTGTAATCATTAGCAGTTGTAATCCATGTGAGATAACGACGGTAAAAGGGGCCTTGGGAGGCTGCATCGGTTGTGCGAATTTGCTGGTAGCCATCTTCATTGGTCGTATCAGTATCGGTATCATCAGGGGTCCCGGTAGTCAATCGAATAAAACTCTCCTGTAGTCTGGCTGATTCGAGGGAAAGCTCATCATCATCTTGCTTGGTCACATCTGTGGAGGTTGATGCAGGTTGCTGCGTTGTGTCTGCCACCGACAGGGGGATACCGGCATCAGATAAGAGATCTGCCATTGTTCCTCTTCGTTCACACAAATATATATATTAAAGGGCTCTCTAACTAAAGCTAGCTTACGGCTGGCACTCTGTCTCGATAAGGATGGTGGCTGTATTATGAACAGTGGTGTGGCATGGAAGTCCAAGTTTGTTTTAGTGTCGGCAGCAGACCTCTTTTTTCTTTCACGGCACTTTTCTTTGACCGTTGTCACAAGCTAGACTACTCTTGTGATTTGAACTCTGACAGCTGTACTGTCTTCTTTGAATCATGCGCTCGACTGGTGCACGACTCGTACCGGTACCAGGTACTTGGTACCGGTTCTACTTCAATGTATTGCAGTAGTACTCTCCGCCAGAACGAAACCTCGAGACTCTCGACCCGACCAGACTCGACTCACTCAAGTCGAGTGCATGCATGGAAGTACAATGAGATGTTCCGGTACAGGTATTCAACAAGATGTCTCCCTACACAAATCCCCTTCAGCTAAAAACATCAAATGCTCCGCAACACAACCTAACGTTGCTAAACCAAGAACCACAACACGAAACATCACTCTTTGAAACCACAAAGATGAAATCCACCATTGGAAAAGACGATCAAACAAGAAAGCAGCCTTTCGCCAAGATGGGGAGGCTGTTGTTGAAATCAATTTTGCCCGACCGCCCCCGCAATTTGACAGCATGGCGGCCCTTGGCAAAGCTTGGAAAACGCATGTTCCGCCAACCATCCCAGCAGGCAAAGCCCAGAACAGAACTCAGATCCCGACAGAAGAAGGCAAATTCTGACGAGGAACGCCAAGAAGCCCACGTCCAGAATGAGATTGCCCTTAACCCCCTGCGTTCTGTCTGGGGTTTGGTGGAACAGTACATGGACGCCGACTCTGTATTCAACATGGCCAGTACTTGCTCCACTGCCCATTGTCTGTTTCGTGAAACAGAGAGCTTTACCAAGCCTTCCTTGCCCCACATACTTCACCATCAAGCCAGGGCACCCAAGATCTACTATGAAATAGATCCCACAAAGCCACGCTTGGGGCGGGAGCGTAAAATGGTGCAAGTCAAGCATTCCTTCCTTGTGCTTTTGATGGAGTCCCCAGAAGTGGATGGTGACTATCGCAAGGTACAACTCCACTTCATCTTTGACTATCCCACCAAGCAGAAATATGCTATGTTGCTCCCTTTTGTGTATATGCCGGTGATGTCGAATACACGGGTTCATATTGATGGTTATGGATACAACACCAATAAAGAGGCCTGGATGAAGGTTCCTGTGGAGCCAAGCACACGTGTCACAGCCTTGATGAAACAGGCCATCACCAAGTGCCACGAAGAGCTTCTCCAATAGTTTTCCCGTTTTGCAAGATAGAAGGCATGTTGAGTTGTTTCATGGAAAGCCATTGTGATGATATATTAGATCTTGAAGCATACCAGCAACGACTTGAAAGGCTTCCTCAAGCTCTTACCGGTAGACGAGAGATATTGGATCCATGAAGCCTCTCCAGAGTATAAACCCCTTCCCCGATTCCACAGGTCGTTGCAAGCCTCCCCACAGATAGGACACAACAACTAGAATAACTACATAGATGACTGATGAGTGCGGCAAGAGGAAGCTTGGACGAGAGCTAATCTATCGATGAAGCCTCTCTACTACTAGTAGTAGCTAGCTAGAGAGTGTAAACTCCTTCATCAGCAGATTCGATTCGATTCGATTCCACAGTTCGTTGTGAGCTCCCACAGATAGAACACAATACATATATACCAGCAACGACGGCCAAAACATTCCGCACTGTACTTTCCCTTCCCCGCTGGTGTGGTTCACAGAGATCTGGTTTGTGAAGAAAGTTGGAATACGTGTGATCGCCTGCCAATTGATTGGGTTTTCTGTGGTTCTATGGATAAAGTCCTCATTCTACCGTACGGTTGGTTGGTCGGTTCTACAACTTGCCTCAAATGAAACACAAGAGTAAAGACTTAAACTGAATCTACACCTGTCACGCCCTTTTTGGACCTTACTCCCATGTCCAAGTCCAATTGTAGAGGTCGTTTATGTATGATTGCGTGGAATACAATTCCACCGGCGGATCCCGCAACACCCGTTGGTCCTGACAATAGTCCAAAAAGGCGGTCAGGGCATCCACACCTGTATCTTGAACGAGCGCTCGGTCCAATCGATGAAACTCATTGTATCCATCCCCACCCTCGGCCAACCAGGAATTGGTCAGAACCGAGTAGACGTGCGTGTCATTCAAGGGGACCCAACCATCATCACCACTGCTGCGGTCGGTCGCGACAGACGGAGTGTGTCGCTCTTGCACTTGGATATTGGACAATCGCTTGGGGAACGCCTCGGACATGTTGACGTGCCATCGAATACCGGCACCATATGGATAACTTCCTCCGGAGACACGACCTTCGTCGATAAGGGCGTAATCATCGACAATCTTTTGCAAGGCTCGTTCCATGGCGGCGACCAGTTGGGATCCTGGAATTTGCATGACAACAAGCGTGTTGTTATAGGGCAACAAGGCTTGTCCCATGGCCACGGTAAAGTTTCCGGCGGCCATGTCGGTGCGTACTTCGGCAGCATTGAGAATGGAAATGTCGGCTTCCGGGACATTCCAGAGTCGGGATTGTGCCACGAGGTTGGTCACACCGCTGCCCAATGCTTGGGACGAGTTGGCACAGAGGCGAGTGACTCCAAAGAGGGGCATTCGTTCCAAACAAATGGTTTCCGGGACATGTGCCACGACAGTGTCGGATGGAGGCCAGTTGTCTCCAAGTTGAGGAGCCGGTGTGGGTGCCACAGTGGGGACGGCTGTGGTGGGCTCTGGTGTGGTGGCCTCTGGGATCATGGGGGTAGCCTCTACTGCTGGGCTGCTGTCATTATCATCGTTCCGAGACATGCTGACTCCGAACACCACAGCCACGACAATGGCAATCAAGAGGACTACCAACAAGACCATGGTGAGTGCCTTGTGACTGGACGATGAGGTGGTGCCTTTGGCAGCAGCAGCAGCAGTGCCTTGTGATGATCTTCTGGAACCAATCGACATGTCGTCCAGCTCGCCAGATGACAACACTTGGGCCTCGACGGACTGACCAATGATACGATTTCGGATCTCTTCTTCCATGATGGTTTCTCGGCGCCGGAACTCTTCCGAGGTTTCTTCGTACACCTCGGCGGCAGTGATCAGGACATCTCCTCCTCCCGCCTCTTGTCCAGTTCCTGCTTCAAGATCAGCCTCTTCGTCATCGTCAGTGTAAAGACGATCGTTCGTAGCGGTAGGTCCCAAGACACTGTACGCTCCCACGCCCGCAGTCACAGCCGTGGCACTGCTAGCATCGGAAGGACGCGTTGTGGGAACAGAAACGCCAACGCCCACCGTGCCATTAGGGTCGCTCCCAGCCTTGTTGTTCACCGTACCGGCAGCCTCACTTCCTGAAGTCGTCTTGGCAGCGGCGTCACTGGTAGGGACAATCCCTACTCCAACACCTACGCCTGCCTTGTTCACTGTCCCGGTAGCTTCCGTCCCTGTCTTGCTGGCGGCGTCACTAGTAGTAGGGAACACCCCTACTCCAACGCCGACGCCTACCCCTGCCTTTGCCTTGGCACTACCTGTAACGGTATCACTACTCGTAGGAGAAGCATTCGGCTTGGTGGCGGCTGGTTTCGCCGCCATGGTCAACACGTTGGATGATCCAGTGAGTGTTGCCGGTACTCCAGCACCCGTAAGAACAACGCCGACAATAGGATCCTCCAAGCTTCTGCTCGAAGTACTACTGTCCTCTTGCTCCATTCCCAAGCGAATGTCGACGATGTCTCTCACCATACTGCCCGTCAGACTGTTCTGACTCCGATTCACCGAGTTATTCCTCTGCCTCTGGCCTCCATTGTTGTTGCTGGACATCTTGCTTGCTTTGTAGTCGTTGTCGTCACCAAGTAAAGAAGTTTATCGATTGTGTTTGTGCCTTTTTGCTCGTTGTTTGTTTGTGCTTTGTGGGAGGAGGGAGGAGGAGTTAGTTGTGACCGAGTAAAAGTTGCCAGATTGGTGCAGTGTGAAAGTGTGGCGCAGGCGCTCCGGGATCACGAAGCAACTGCGGTACAGTTGTGGAAAAGACGCTTCAAGTGGCGCATAAAGTAGTCACTCCACGTGTACCACGGGACAGCCCTTTATGTCGTTCTCACTGGATGGGACAGTCCCTTTATGTCAGTCAACTTGATTCTCACTGGATGATGTGGACGTTTGTGCCAACAATCCAACAATGACCGAATGTTCTGGCAATTTGGAGCAGCATAGCAGAAGGCCAAACCAAACAGCTAAGCAAACACAGTTACTCCGTCACTCCAGGAGTACATCAGTACAGCTGTATTCATACTGTAATAAATCCTTGGTAAATTCGTTCTCCGAACTCGGAAGGCCGAGGGTGCTGAAAGCTCCCCATCACTCCACACTGCGCGCACGTATGACCTTCTCTCTTCGCTGCTTTAGAAACAAAAGCCTGCAAGGCTTCTTAAAATGTTTGGAAGAGCCTCAGTCGGCAGAGTGGATTGATCAAACCACACATCCGCAGCTACCAGATTATATAAGGGGGTTTAGAGTAGGGAAATTAGCTACGGAAGCCAGCCGGGGCCAGGCTCAAGCAAAGAACAGTCGAAATTCAGGACTAGGTTCGGAGGGATCAGGGGCAAGAAATTGAGGACCATTACGGGGGGCAAAGGGTTTGGCTTTGCGGGATCCACGGAGACATAAATGGGTAGCTTTCACAAGGGCAATTGAGATACGGGTCTGCATGAAGAACATCATTTGAGAGTAGGAAAATTGAGTTTTGGAGGCAGTAGCAGAAGCAAGGCGTTGTAAGAGAGTCTTGGCTTGAGGGGCAAGCATGCCATCCACTGAAACAACAAAGCAGCTACCAGATTGGTACCCGTGCGATCAATCAGGTGATCAATCTACCCCGTATCCAACTTAGTCGCTCTGCAGCTACGGATGCTTCGCCTTCCAGCGACTCTCCTGTAGTTCTCACCCCATCCGAGGAACGAGGTGATCTCCTTATCCGTGGCCTCTGGCAACGCGGAACTGACGGTATAATTGATGTTCGTGTCATCAATCTTGATGCTGCTTCTCACTGTCGCAAGGATCCTGACAAGGTCCTTCGCAATGGCGAACGTGACAAGAAACGCAAGTATCTCGACGCCTGTCTTTCCCAACGCCGCCACTTTACTCCGTTTGTTGTCTCTGCTGGTGGTCTTCTTGGGGCCGAAGCTGAGGCACTCACGAAACGTATTTCCGCTTTGCTCGCTGCAAAGTGGGAACGCCCTTACTCAGTGGTGCGTGGCTACGTTAATGCTCGGCTCAGCCTAGCTATTCTTCGGGCCCGCCACCTCTGCATGCGTGGCTCTCGTGTCCCTGCTGGCACAATGAGCTACTGTCGTTCTCTCTGGGATGCCGATGGTGCACTTGCACTCTTCCGCTCATTTTGCTCCCTTGTCCTTCCTGGTTTTCCTCCATGCACCCCCTTCCCTGCCCCCCTTGTTTTGCCCTGCTCGCGTCCTCATTGCTCTCCCCGTATGCCCACCACAACAGCCACCCACCACCGCAGCCACTGCTTTGCCTAGCCTCGCCCCCCTCGCTCTTAACGTATCTCTTTATTATTTCTCACATCACACTCATCTACTCTACGAGGCTTCGAAGAAAGAACTGCACGAAACGCTCCAAGCAGAAACCACCATGTTCCTCTATTTGTTAGATGGACTTGGCACGCCTGATGATTCCATTCGAAAGCTCTTCTCCCAGCCATGCAGAAAGCCCTTACAAATCATCGTCCCCTTCGGAAGAAAGTCCAACAGAGGTATCCTCATCACCCGTGGCTAGTTGTCTCTTATCCACAGGCATGTATTTGGCTATGATGCCTCGGACCTGCTGCCTCATCAGTGTTTGAGCTTGTCACCACTGAATATATCCAGCAACACCAACCATAAGACCCATGATACCAAGCGTCCCTGCAAACACTTCTGGCGAGACACCACTCTTGGCGCCCGAGATACCACCCGTGCTGCACTTTCCTTGAACAACACAGCCATATTTGTCCAACGATTCCTACAAACTCCAGGCTCTGTGCCATAGGTGTATGCTGCCTTTCAGAGAGTGTCAAACTTGAGAGCTCCGCGAATGGCTGCCGCGTCGACGTACATGGAAGGAACAATGACAACACCCGAGGCTTCTTGCTCTCCAAGTTGTGCCTCCAAGACGATGTTGGACTTGTCTCCTTTGAGACCACCCGAGTCCAGCATGGCATGGACGCCTGTGAGTCGTATCACTCAATCGAGTGACTCGACTCAGTCCCAACACGGTGCCCAACCGGCACTGGTGCTAGTACTGGCTCTGGCTAGAGTACCGTGTGTGCAAGGGTTCTGCACGCCGACACCTTAGAATAGTAGGGAAGGGAAATTTTCGCAAGAGGTGTCCCGTTACCAACGAGAATTCTGTATCAGAGCTACCATGGAGACTATTTATGGATCTTTTTTGTTAGCGTGGAAGCTTGTGAATTCTCTCCCTGAGCTTGTTGCAATGTATCATACTCACACACGACAATGGAAGAAATCAATTACTCATTTGGTGCAAAGCCACCGGATGTCAAGTCGCAGAGAGTTTGTTGTGGATGTCAGACCCCCGAATCAGCCAGCAAGCCATTCCAGCAGCAATGTCCCCGGTGTTCTGAGGAGGGATTCATTCCAGCACTCTTCTGCTCCCAGGCGTGCTACATGCAGGCGTGGCCACGGCACAAACAATGGCATGCAGATAATGCATCCTACATCAAAATGTACTCGCAACACATGGATATCGCCCCCAGGAACAGATCCCAACACGAACCTGCGGACCCCACGGAGCATGCACCCAAGTACTATGGCCTCGTTGCCACCGCCAAATCCAAATTTCAAGCCGGCGACTTGAGTGGCTCCAAAAAGCTCCTCCGGAAAGCCATGAAACTCGATACCCGACGACCAGAGGCATTTGACAAGCTCACTGTATGCTACGAATATTCAGGACAGAGAAACGAATCCAATTTCTATTTTATGGAAGCATTCAAGCGATATGCCTTTGTGGCCTTGGCCAAATTTGGAAACGTTCAAGATACCGATCTGGCATTCTATGCATGGTCAGGTGGTGTGTTTTCTCTAGCCAAAGAATACTTTGACAACCCAGAGTTGGACAAACCGGATTGGTGGCATCACGATGGAATGGTCCGGCGAATTACCAAAATGGCCATTGGTGGACTCAACGCGGAATCCAGTACAATCCCATACCAGATTGGTATTGTCTATCTCTTGCAAGCATTTGCATTGGCGGGCATTGTCCGTCATTTTCATGCTTCGTTCCATGGTGCAGAAGTCACAATCCCAGAAGACCGCACTCATGAAGAGCTGGTGGAGGCCTATGTGATCTTCAAAAAGGCAACCAAAAACACAATTGCCACGTCTACAGCAGCCATTGATTCATTTTTTGAGTCTGCAGTGTTGGAAGCCATAAGGACAAGACATGCACAGGCCAAACAAGAAGTGAATAGTCCCATGATTGCAAAGCCCAGTTTGTGCCAAGCAGGTACATTGGTGTTTGCATTTGGCCTTGAAAGTCTAAAAGTTGGGATGGTGTCCAGAGATGGGTTGCAGGATGGCAGTGTTGCTGTGAAAGTAGATGGTTTCAATGATCTCCAGCTGATACCTTCAGGAAATCTGGTAGAAACTCCATTCAAGGAGAGAGAAGTGGCCCTCATTTGCTGTTTGGGGGATGCAGACCGGTGCAAGGTTTTGAGGCAGTTTACCACTGTCATGCCAGAAGGGTATCAACAAAACATTAAACGCTTTCATCATGGGCCGCCGCAACGAAGATGTGCAGGCCAGGAAATTACAAAAATAATCTGAGGATGAGGAACTTAGTGTTTGCCAAAAGGCTGCTCACTACAAGAACATGCTGTCCTCCATCCTTGAACTTCTGGCTGGCAAGCTGGTACAGTGCCCACTCAGATCACGTCAATCGTGTTTCGGGAGTTCTCGCTCCTTGCGATCCTACAGTATTGACACCGTGCATGCAATAGAAAGTATCCTTGGCATGCAGCGCTCTCTTTGTTCGTTCAATGTACCGTAACTATAGCCGATCAATGCTAATCCTGTGTGGTGAATGGGATGAAAATTTCACCCCTTTGGATTACCAGACCCACACGCCGTGGAAACTTTCGGGCGCCAATGCAGAAGAAGAAGTACGGTTCTCGTGGTTGCCGTTGTACGAGTGTACGGCCTCGGTTTTTGATTTCCTCATTGTGGCTCATGCGAAACTATAGCTAGCCGATGTACTTGTTAGGAACCGTAAACCTAGCTAGACAAACACACTGTTCAATCTTGTGATTACCAGGCGGGAGAGGATATTCATGGCCTCAAACTTGGCTGTGACGGATGATCTCCACATCCGTCGCCAAGGTTTTATTGTATGCGGTTTTCTAAAAGATCATTCTCTAAAAGTCAATCATGAGAACTTGCTTTGTAGCCAACAAAATCAAGAAATCAGTGCTTCGTCCCTTCATTACTGACTAGTATGTACTGGTCCGAGCAATGTCAGCATCTCCAGTGGCAAGCACATCAAACACACAAGCATCTTTCTTCTCTCCAGAGAGGTGAGAGCAGGCATCTTCAGCAGCAGACTTGGCCAATGTTTTGCGCAGACATGCACGGCCAACTTCCGTCTTCTTACCTCTCTGGGAGGGAAAGATGCACTTCCCTGGATAATGAGGGGCTCTAACAAAGAGCTGGGGTTCGTCATCATGCACTTGCCACTCTTGCCCAAATGCATTGGGGTTAGACATGACAGTAGACCCATCCCTGGCAAGCATCACACCATCAAATGATCCCATCATGCCTTGACTGCTCCCAAAATGCTTGGCAGCACCCCCAGAGATCCTGACAGAAACCAAGTCTTTAAAAGTGCTGATGGTGATGTTCTCATTAGGGTCAAGAACCACATCAAAGATGTGATGCTTGGCAAATGGTTGTCGGTGATAGATAGGATAGCCAGACAAAGTAGATACTCCTTTCTTGTCCCCATGATGGATCAATAAAGCATGATCCACATCATTCAGGGCAAAGTCACCCCAACTGGATACTTCAAGTACATCATCGCCAATGGATAAGGCAGCAGTCTCAATGTAACTGTAGTCATTTCTTGCCTTTGTCCTCACATGAACTCTCATGTCAAGATCAGGGGCATGTATCAGAACAAGGTCACACACTCCATGGTAGTCGTACCATGTTCCATTCCAGGTCATGCAATGAGGATCCCCATTCATTCCACCATCGTGGGTCAAACTTGGGGTTGGGGCATCTGGAGTTGGTAGAACTGGAGTTGGTACAGCTGGTGTTGGTGGAACTGGAGTTGGTGGAACTGGAGTTGGTGGAACTGGAGTTGGTGGAACTGGTGTTGGTGGAACTGGAGTCGGGGCAACCGCAGTAACTTCTGTAAAATGTGTTTCTTGCTCGGTACAGAGTGAGGCAATTATGTTGTATATATACTGCTTATATTCTCAACTCTATCGCTCCCCCATTGCCGAACAGCTTTGCAGGTTCTCGAGATGACTCGCGAGTTCGAGCAGATGGATACACCCAGCACTAATTCCACGGTACTGGTGTGGTTGCAGGTAATTTCTTTCGCTTTAGCGCTGCCTGCAATCACGCGCTAGCCTTCGAGATCATTGGAAGGATTCTCATGTACGTACGTCAGTGGAGGTACGTGAAAGATTCGGGTTCGCATTCGGAATCCGACTGACGTCAGTGGAGGTACGTGTTCTCGCCTCTGTGCAGTATTCGCTCCCCCAGGAACCGCGAAGAATTCCTTGGACTATGTTGGAACGATCTTACGAGTGATACTGACTGTACGGTGGTGAAGAATGATGTTCTTCGTTGATATTCTGCGCACGCACGTACGTACGTATGCAGTAATCGGGGAACTGACTGTGCTAGTACTAGTACGAAGTCGGAATACTAGTTTCTTCTCTTAACTCACGAGCGAAGGGGAGAGCCATTCTGAAGGACTTAGACGTTGGATCACTAGACATCCGGCAAGCCTATGTCACGAAGGGAAGTTGTGGTGAACTCCCCCATAGTCTCGGTATTATCTAAATGGAACGTCATATACTATTTACGAGTGAGACTTACCATCTCACCGTTGGAGGTGAACTTCTCCCCCCAAGTCTTAACGAGTGGTTGTGGTACGGATGAAGGGGTAGTGACGAGGAATTAAGACCAAACTCTCCCGGAACTATGGGTGCATGCGGTACGGAGCAAGGGAGGTACTCACGGGGCACCTTTATACTTAAGAGTCGTATTCCACCTTGGAGCCCTGCCGGTCGTGGCAGACTTGTATATTCAGTAAGGAGGACGATATTATTTAACTAGGGCATGCATACTTAATTAATGTTGACTGACAATGCGAGTTTCCTCGAGGTGGAAGCTAGATCCACATACCGGGGATCGAACTACAGGCCTCGAGACCTTTCTACAGTGGATGACCGAGGGGAATCACTATAGTAGGGCTGACTGTTAATCCAGTAACTTCTGTAAAATGTGTTTCTTGCTCGGTACAGAGTGAGGCAATTATGTTGTATATATACTGCTTATATTCTCAACTTTATCGAGCCTGTTGGGGCTTGGATTCGCCAATGCGCATGGTGACAGCTCCCTCCCTTACCAAGTTCCCTAAGAAAAGGTTCACATTGGTGTCCTACAGAAAGTCGTCGCTGGTGCCAGTGATCTGGACTTGCGATTACCCAATGCCTGCATTGACTGACAGGCTCTCTCACCGCTACAGTTGCCCAATTGAAAAGGTTCACTTGGGGTCCTACAGGAGGCTTGCAAGTGGTCTGGCTTTCGATTACCCAATCCGATGTTGGGGTGACAGCTCCTTAAACCTATTCTCTATCTAATGAAAAGGTCGTTCAATATGGTCCTACAAGAAGTGCCGGGTGGTCTGACTTTTGGAATGCCAGTGGTCTCTAACCTGTTGCATCCCCAATGCGCATTAGTGCGCAGCTCCCTCACCCTACCAAGTTCCCAATGAAAGGTTCACATGGGGTTACACGAAGCCGGTGGTCTGGACTTGGATTCCCAATGCTGCATGGAGTGACAGCTCCCATCAGGCTTACAAGTGCCTAAGGAAGAGGTCACATGGGTCGTTCTTGCAGCGAGTGCCAGTGTTCTGGATTTGGAATCCCCAATGCTGCATGGAGTACAGGCTTCCTCCACCCGTACCAGGTGTCCTAAAGAAGAAGCGTCACCCAATGGGGGGTTTCTTGCAGGGAATGCCCGCTGATGGTCTGGACTTGGATTCTCCAATGACCGCATTGGAGTGAAGTCTCCCTCAAGCTAGGAAATTTAAGTAATTTAGGTGCCGGTGGTTGGACTTGGATTCCCCAAGCCGCATTGACAGCTCCTCACCCTACAAAGATTCCTAAGGAAATCTTCACTTGTGTCGTACAGGAGTGTTGCTGTTCTGGACTTGGATTCACCCAATGCCGCATGGAATGACCACTCCCTCCCCCTACCAGAATCACTAATGATAAGGTCATTTGGGTCCTACAGGAACTGCAGGGTGTCGTGGTGTCTACAGAATGCCTGTGGTCAGAACTTGATTCTCCTCAATGCCGCATGGAGTACAGCTCCCTCACCCTATCAGAGTCCAAAGAAAAGGCTTCACTTCGTGGGTGTCTGCAGGAATGCCGGTGTCTGGACTGGATTCTCCAATGCCGCATTGGAGTGACAGCCTCCTCACCCTACCAAGTTCCTAAGGAAAAGGGTCACATGGGTCCTACAGAAGTGCCGGTGGTCTGGCACTTGGAAGCCATGGTCTGGCTTGGAATTCCCCAATTACCGCATGGGGTGATCTACTCTCTATATTCCTACCAAGTTCCAATGAAAAGGTTTTCCCAAAACCAATGGCGGTCCTACAGAAGAGTGCCGGTGAGTCTGGACTTGGATTCCAAAATGCCGCATTGAGTGAAAGCTCCATCAACCTAACAAGTACCCAATGAAAAGATTCAAATATGGTCCTACAAAAGTACCGGTGGTCTGGAATTGGAATGCCATTGGTCTGGGCTTGGATTCCCCAATACCGCATGGGTGAAGCTCCCTCTAAACTCCTACATAAGTTCCCAATAATGGTTTCACATTTGGTCCTACAGAAGTGCCGTGGGTCTGAGACTTGCGAATGCCGAGGGTCTGGACTTGGATTTCCCCATGCTGCATTGACTGAAGCTCCCTCACCCTACCAGGTTCCCTTGAAAAAGGTTCACTTGGCTCCTACAGGAGATGACAGGGTATATGGGACTTGGATTCCCAATACCGCATTGAATGACGCTCCTCAAGTACAATTGCTAGAGAGGTTCACATGGGGTTTGGCAGCGAGTACCAGTGGTTTGGATGACCGTGTCTGGATGTCCCCAACGCGCATCGGGACATGCTCCCTCAACCTACCAAGTTCCAATGAAAAGGTCACATGTGGCCTCAGACTATAGCGGAATGCCATGACTGGCTAGATGAATGCAGTGGTCTGGATCTTGGTCCCAATGCTGCATTTGTGTTAACAGCTCCCTCACCTACCAGGTTCCCATTGGAAAGGTTCACATGGGTCCTACAGGAATACGGGTAGTCTGGACTTGGAGATAACTCCAATGCAATGCATTTGAATGACAGCTCCCTCAGCTACCAAGTGCCTAAGGAAGAGTCTTCACATGGGATCTTGGCAATGCCGGTGTCTGAATGAATCCGGTCTGAGATTTGGAATTCCAATGATCTGCATGTGAGTGACAGCTTCCTCACCTTTCCAGATTCCTAAAGAAAAGGATCACATGGGTCTTGCAGGGAAGGAGTGGCGCAGCCGTGGTATGGAACTTGGGATTCTCCAATGCC